GAACATGCGAACTCCCACCCAAATATACCAAGAATATCACAATACGATATTCCCCATTCAACCTAGGGCTCTAATCATATTTTATCTTTAAAATCAAGAACATCAAGATTTATCAAGAACATCACACAATTATCAAGATCCCCTTTAATCATCAAGATCATCAAGATCAACACCTAAGATCATCTCATCAATTATCAAGATCATATCATCATCATCATAAAAGATTTATCAAGACACAAGCATAGAGAATGAGCCAAAGAAGAAGATTATAGCAAAGAAAATCGGTTTTGTTGAGACATGGGTTACCTCTTAGCTTTAATTAAATTCCTTGGCTATTAAGGGTCTTTCTCTAAGATCTCCTCTTCTTGATTTCTCCTATGTTGGTGATAAGAGAATTCTTGGGAATTCTTATGCGGTGATATCTGTTGTGGTGTGTACTCTAAGTGCCTCCTATGTCCCTATTTATATATCTAAGAGTCCTAATTAGGGTCTGAATGGTATGGGTTTGCTAATTCTATTTCTTATAAGATTAAGGGATTGGTTTTGGGGATAAGGGTCCATGGTCTATGGTGGACCCTTCCTAGCAAATTAATGGAATTTAATTCTCTTTTTAGGGTAAGTAATTAAATAATTAGTTTGGGTTAGAGGCCGTAACGCGGCCGTAACGAGAGGTTGAGGAGTCCAAGGAGTGCACTGATGAATCAGAGAGCGAGTCATTCTAGCGCCGTGTTGGGGTAACCTCGTTCACCTTTCCATAGCTTGTGGTTATCTTCTTAGTTGTTGCCATCGTTTGCTAGTTGCTTTGTAACACCCCCCCCCCAAACATGCTATATAAAAAGCCTTAACACCTGCAGATCATACAACAAAACTAGCACAGCGGAAGATAAAACGAAAACTGGATAGAAGAAATCCAAACGGGGTGTTATGCCACGTCTACCAAACACGGTAAATGCTATGGCGATCAATCTGCAAGTGTATACATCTATCCCAAAAGGTAACAATCTAACACTACAACGACACACAGGCCACAAAACAAAGGTAAAGATACTTGACTACCAGCCACTAACATCGCGCTCGTCTAGACATCACCTGAAAGATACAAAGATAAACATTGGGACGACGCCCGGTCAGCGATAATGCTGGTAACCCACCAATACCTGTTAAGTATCATACATAGGTAGGGTACATACAAAAATCATTTCGAAACGGAATACATTTATATAAGTGTAAAACCATGAGTAAACACCAACTCAAGACTCAACACTCATCAATAAACACCACGAGAACACATCCCAAGACCACAACGGATAACGACACCACAAGGATCAAGACACGACAACCGGCACACATGCCTAGGCAACACATGCCTTTGTGACTACACACGTCACAAGAGAGAACACACAACCACGGCTACACAAGCCCTCGTGACATCACCCGCCACGAGTTGATATGCCTTCCTTATGCCGTGTTCTAACCTTATGGCTACCCCCAACCTTATATCTAGTTCCAACCTTTACCTCCAGGACCCCTGTACATACAGTCCAACCTTATTCCCTCGGGAACCGTCGTTCCCCCTCCAACAGTCCTCTAACAAAGCCACCGATTCATAGTACACGAGGTACCGTACACGCACATGGCACACATGCCCGGATAACACCTGTTATCCCCCAAAAACGTGAACCTTACACAAAGGCCAAAGCTCCATAATCACGCCACGGCCACCATGATGACCGCTGCAATACCTTGGTGACTAGTGTCCCATACCACTAATCGTGCAATCCAGGTAAAGCCACACACGCACCACAACTCAACAAGAGTCAAACTACGGATCACAACGAAGGTATGAAACATACTCAATCAAGGAATGGGTCACAGCCCAACAACATCAACGATGAACAACACGAGTTATCATCACCCAAACGGAAGGTACAAACCACACACACGCTAGCATTAAGAAAATAAACTAGCATGCTTAACAACGGAGAAACTCAAGATAGTTCCGAGGAACACACAAGACACCTCTCGGTCCAACGAAACACAATGTTGAACACTTAGCACGATTCAAGACACCAAAGTCCTACATGGATACCTACCATATAGTTCTAGACATACGAAACATCAAGAAGACGCTCAAATAGTTCCACAAAAGAACATTGGGAAGTCAAAAGACCAAATACCAAGTCAAACGAATCACGGGGAACAAATCCCATCACAACACCAACCATGTACCCGCGGGTGGACCCACGGGTAGTGCCCCACCCGTGGTTCCGCCCGCGGGAACATCATCCCACAAGGCCATGTACCCGTGGGTAGGCCGACATGTGGTGCCCCGCCCACGGGTACACACTTGTACCACAACAAATCCCTTCGGGGATTTTCTTCTCCAAACACAAATTCAAGTCCAAAACATGCCAAATCTCACCCAACACAACAAAATGACTTGAATCATGCAAAATACCAAGCAATGGCACAAAGGAACCCTAAACACAAGCTCTAGATATGCAATATCACAAGACAAATGCATAAACCCTCACATTTCACAGCAAAGCACAAGTAAAATCCAAGAAATCACATATAGGTAAGAAAAATAGGTTTTAGTAGAGCATGGGTTACCTCTTGTAGACCAAAAGACTTCACTTTACACCTCAACAAGCTCCTTACAAGGCTTACTATCCAAACCCACTTCAAGATCAAACCAAAAGATCATAAAGATCCTACTTTTAAGAAAAAGACAACTAAGATGGAACCAAAAAGACAAGATGGACTTAGATCATACCCTCCTAGATGCCCAAATAGGTGAAAGGTTGAATCTTGGGAGCAAATCTTGGAATCTTGACAAGGGTCTCAACTTGGCTTGGAGAATAAGCTACACTTCTTTTCTAGAGAGAAGGTAGAGCTAATTTCTAGGAATTGTAAGGAATGAAATGAAGAAGTCTTCTAGGTTAGGTTACAATACTAACTCTTGGTGAAAAGTCAAGAATACCTTTACTAACCTTTAGAAAGTGTAAGTAACAAGGGAACTCCCCTCAAAGCTCAAGGTACAACACAACTTTAAGGTTGACTAGTCAAATACTAGTCCTTGAGTATTAAAAATCAGGATTTTAGGAATTAATTCCTCAAATAAAATAGAATTAATTACTCAATTAATCCATGGATTGAATGTGGATTTTTGGGGTGTCACATGCTTGTTGTTTGCTTTGTGTGTTCGTTCTTCCTTGCTTGTTTAGTTGGGAAGTTAGTTTTGTGGCTTGCCTTAGGTGTTAATTGGTTAGAACGTGGTGTTGGCTAGAAGTTTAGAGGCCGTTTTGATCTAGAGTTTGATATGCTCATCATCCCAATTGGTAATGCTTTCAATCCTTGCTATGTTATGATTCCTTACTTGTTTTGGTATCCTTTGAACTCTTTAAGTTTTGACCAAAAAGGATGTTCTTGACACTCTTGTCACATTGGTGTTTCTTTTACCGTTTTGCTTTGATTCGTCGTATCCAAGCTTCGGGGACGAAGCTTCTTTTAAGGGGGAGAGGATGTGACACCCCGCAAATCTAAATTCTATTTAAGGATTAATTAAGTAATTAATCCTAATCTAATTGATGAATTATTCTTTAAATTCCTGAAAATTCAATAGTCGGGGACTAGTATTTGACTAGTCAACCAAAGTCAAGATGTTGTACCTGAAGCTTTGAGGATAGTTCCCTTGTTCCCTTACACTTCTTCATTTTAGTAAGGGTAATGGAGACATTTCACCTCATGTTAGTATTGGAAGCTAACCTAGAAGACACCGTTCATTCTTTCCCTTACACTTTCTAAACTTGAGCTCCTCCTTCTCTCTAAAAGTTAGATAGCTTTTCTTCCAGGCCAAGTTGAGGCTTTACAAAATCTTCAAAGTTTGTCTCCGAAATTCCACCTTTCCTTCTCTTGAGCATCTAGGAGGGTAAGATCTATGTTCCTCTTGTGTTTTTAGTGTTTTATAAGGTGTCTTTTCTTAAAGATGAAATCTTTATGATTTTTCGGTGTGTTCTTGAAGTGGGTGTTGAAGGTGAACCTTGTTAAGTAATTTGAGAGGTGTTGTAATTGAAGAATTTGTCTACAAGAGGTAACCCATGCTCTACAAAATCTATTTTGCTTACCTATATGATTATTCCTTGGATTCTACATGTGATTTTGCTATGAAATGTGAGTGTTGATGCATTGTCTTGTGAAAATGCATATCTAGAGCTTGTTATTAGGGTTCATGTATGCCATTGCTTGGCTATTCCTTTGATTCAAGTCATTTAGTTATATTTGGTGAGATTTGTCATGTTTTGGACTTGAATTTGAGTTTGGAGTTGAAAATCCCCGAAGGGATTATTTTGGTACAGGGTGTGTACCCGCGGGCGGAACGATGGGTAGGGCACCACCCGCCGCCCCACCCGCGGGGTACATAGCCGATGGGAAGTGGTTCCAGCGGGCGGAACCACGGGTGGAGGTCCACCCGTGGCTCCACCCGCGGGTACGTATTTTGTGAAAGTTTAGGGATTTGTTCCCCGTGATTCTTTTGACTCGGTATTATATATGTATTCCGGTTTCAAAATGGTTTTCTTATATCTACCTATATTGTACTTAACGCGTGGGAGTGGGTTACCAGCATTATTCGCTGAACAGATATTATTTGGCTTTCAAGTGCAGATGAGTAGCTACGGAGCGCGCTAGTGGTCTCGCGGACTTAGTTAGATAGTACTAGTAGTAATGAAGTGGCCTGCGTGCCTTGAGCAGTATTTGAAATGTTAATGACAGTTTACGCTTTGATAGATAGTTTAGTCTGTGCATCTGAGTTCTCTAACTTAGATGTGTCATAGCACCCCGACTATTATGTTTAGTTTATGCTCTGTTTGGGAATTAATATCAGATTTCCCTTTGTTATATAAGTTTTAAAAGTTTCAAAAATTAGGGGAGTTACAGGTAAGGCCCCGATATGTCTTGACATCAAGAAGCCCCCTATTGATCCAGCATTTGAAGCCAAAATGAAGGAACTTCGAGTGACAATGAGGTTATCTAAAATCAAGACTGAGCTTGATAAGATGCACCAGAATGATCGAAACTACAGCACTAGTGGAATAAAAAATGATTGTTCAAGTGATAAAATTCCAGAAGACAAGAATGATGGAAAAGAAGATAGTAAGCATCAACCAGAAAGAAAGGAACGTCTGGATGATACACAAGAAAAGAAAGAAGAAGATAACAAAGAACAAGAAAGTGAGTCGGATGAGAAGAATGAAGAAGACGAAGACGCAGATGAAGAATGTAACACCCCAGATTTTCAAGATATTTAAAACTTATAAAATAAAGGTGAAATCCCATTAAATCCCAAAACATAATACAAGAGTACGGGGTGCTATGCCACACCTGAGCTAGAGAACCCAGGTGCACAGGCTAACTATCTAATATCCTTAGTAATGTAAATGCATAAACATGGCACGTAGGCCGAAGGGGAAACTATCTACTTCTACGTTCCAAGTTCTATCGCGCTCCGGTGACCTATTCTTCTGTTCTTGAAAGCCAAATATATCTGTTCAGCGAGAGATGCTGGTAACCCACTCCAACGCGTTGAAATACAATACATATAGAGATATATATAGATATACGAAAATCATTTTGAAGCATGGAGATATATCCTACGAGACTCTAGCTTTTAAAACCGGGAATGACTCAACAGATAAGGCTAGACCCAAGCAACAGTTATAACAGGCGTATACAATCCTCAACAGGCAAGACAGATAAAGCTGAGCACAATTAATAATCATAACCCCATGTAAACAATCCCCAGCATAAATCCCTTAGTCACATCCCCCAATATACTCATAAACACAATTCCTCCATATCTCATCACATAGCACACTTTGTTGGCGCCACAGGACCAATCGCACGCCCATACATGAGGGTCAGTGCATATAGCTCTGACACGGCCCCGCAGCACCCTGCCCCGTCTCACATTACGGAGGAGCCGATCGCAACCGACTGATGGACCTTTGTCCTACATAATATTTATATACCTGACCGGTCTTTACCAGCCTGGTTAACAGTTGGGATGGTTCTCAGCCCATTCAACTGCCCGTATAGTGGACCTTTGTCCTATGTAATATTTATATACCTGACCGGTCTCTACCAGCCTGGTTAACAGCCGGTATGGTTCTCAGCCCATCCGACTGCCCGTATAGTGGAACTTAGTCCTATATAATATTTATATACCTGACCGGTCTCTACCAGCCTGGTTAACAGCCGGTATGGTTCTCAGCCCACCCGACTGCCCGTATAGCCCGATTGATCTCAACCAATTCGGGGTGACACGCACACATAACACGTAGCAAGAACATGCAACCCACATTAACATATTAGGAAGGGGAGGAAATGTATAACGAAATCTATGCGTGATCCTTCACATACTAAGAATAGTCCTAAGGGTTCATACTTCCTTTCACCTAGGTCAGCGGGATACCAATTCAACTAGCATGCAGTATATAAGACTCATACAACCTACAAACGGTACCCGAAATATCAAACTAGACATAGGCACGATAGACGGGGTCCGTTGGGACACCTCGGGGGTCGGGGAAACATCAAACGGGGAAGCCAAGATCCCCAATTGGGGTGCAAACCAGCGGGTAGCCGGTGGGTGAGGGATCACCCGTCGGCGGTAACAAAACCGGGCAGCGGGTGCCCGGTGGGCAGCTGCCCGCCCGCCGGCTGCCCTCTGCCGGCGTTGCCCAAGGAGGCCGCGGGTAGGTGGCGGGTCCCCTACCCCCACTTACCCCCCACTGACTCTTTTCATAAAGAAACGCCCCGGGAACCTTTGTGGAACCCGAAACCATGCTTGGACACTTTCAAACGCAATTGATAACACACGTAGACAATTAACGGATCAAAATCAGGAAACAATCGGCACATAACCTATCATGCTTTTCTAAACGTAATAAACACCCAATCATGCGAATTCCCACCCAATATACCAAGAATAATTCCATACGATACAACCTAGGGTTCTAATCACTTTTATGCCAACAAGAATACGATTCGTCTTCTAATTACAAGATTCGGTACAAATAACACATAAGTATCAAGAACGCCATACAATTATCAAGAACAACATATAATTATCAAGAACTCCACGTAATCGTTAAGAACACCATAATTATCAAGAATCTCCTGATATCAAGATCACCCATGGAATTATCCCATCAATCATCAATAATAACATCACAAATCATCAATACACAATAATATGGGGGAATCCTACGGGGGAAATCATAGCTATGGAAATAGGTTTTGTTGAGACATGGGTTACCTTTTAGCCTTAATTAATTCATTGGCTATGAAGGGTCTTTCTTTAAGCTTTCTTGTTTTCTTGATTTCTTCTAGGGGGATTCTTGGAGCTCTTTGGGGAGGTGGGGCGTTATTCTTGTTGGGGGTTTCTAGGTGTCTCTTAAGTCCCCTGTTTATATATTTAGGAGTCCTAGTTAGGAACTAATATTATCGGCTTGCTAGTTCTATTTCTTTTGGGACTAAGGATTGGGTTTAGGGATAAGGGCCCATGGACTATGGTGGGCCTTCCTAATTAATTATTGCGATTTAATTCTTTCTTTTGGGTAATTGATTAAATGATTTAATTGATCTTAGGGGTCGTAACACGGGGTGTTACACTCTCCCCCCCCTTATTGGGAAGCTTCGTCCCCGAAGCTTGGTCTTTGCCGAGTGACTTTCTCTAAGTTACCTGGTGTGAAAAGTTCGGGGTAGCGTTCCCTCATTGTGTCTTTGAGCTCCCACGTTGCTTCCTCGATCCCATGGTTGGTCCAGAGGACTTTCACCATTTCCATGGCTCGGCGACGGGTGTTTCTTATCTTGGTGTCCAGGATCGTCACGGGTCTTTCTTCGTATACTAGTGACTCGTCGAGGTTCACGACCTCGGGTTGAAGCACGTGGCTCAGGTCGTGTACGTATTTCTTCAGCTGGGATATGTGGAATACGTTGTTTACTCGTTCTAGTTCGACGGGTAGGGCGAGGCGATAGGCTTGGTTCCCAACTTTTTCTATGATTTCATAGGGCCGATAAATCGAGGGCTGAGCTTTCCTTTCCTTCCGAATCTCATCACCCCTCGCGTGGGGCGAGATTCTCAACCATACCTTGTCCGCGGTGTTGAATTCGGCTTGTTTCCTCTTTAGGTCGGCGTAGGACTTCTGGCGGTCCTGGGCAGCCTTCATCCTCTCCCGGATGTGCTTGACCTTGGTGATTGTGTCCTGAAGGTGTTGGGGCCCTAGTGTTATTGGGTCGACCATGTCTTCCCAACATAAGGGGGTTCTGCACTTTTCTCCGTATAGAGCTTCGTAGGGTGCCATACGAATGCTTGCGTGGTAACTGTTGTTGTATGAGAATTCAATAAGGTCTAGGTGTTCCTCCCATGTCCCTTGAAAGTCGAATACGCAGGCTCTTAACATGTCTTCGAGGGTCTGAATGGTCCTCTCGGTTTGGCCGTCCGTGGTGGGGTGGAAAGCAGTGCTTAGTTTTAGTTGTGTCCCCAAGGCTAATTGCAGTGATTTCCAGAATTGTGAGAGGAACCTGGAGTCTCTATCGGATACGATGTTTCGGGGGACTCCGTGATACTTCACTACTCGGCTCAAGTAGGCTTGGGCTAGTTGTGTCATTGTCCACGTTTCCTTCATGGCGATGAATCGCGCTGTTTTGGTTAGTCGGTCCACTATGACCCAAATCTTATCCTTGCCGGTCTTCGTTGGGGGTAGTCCTCCGACGAAATCCATGGATATGGAATCCCACTTGCCTTGTGGTATCTCAAGGGGTTGTACGAGTCCCTTGGGCTTGCATCGTTCGGCCTTCACCCTTTGGCAATTCAGGCACCTGGCCACGAAATCCGCGATTTCCTTTTTCATGTTGGGCCACCAAAACGACCTTTTTACATCTTGGTATAGTTTGTCACCCCCTGGGTGAACCGAGTATGGGGAGTTGTGTCCTTCCTCCAAGATTTGTTGCTTCAAGTGGGGGTGCGTTGAGGGCACGCACCACCTATCCTGGTAACGGAGACTGTCGTCTTCGTGTATCTTGAAGGGTCGATCCTTCCCCTGGGTTAGGTCGAGGCGGATTTTATCTAGTTCCTGATCCTGCTATTGCCCTATTTTGATTTCCTCGAAGAGCTTAGGCACGACTCGTGCGTTGAATAAGTGGATGCCGGGGTGGTTTTGACCTTGTTTTATTATTTCCAAATTCAGTCTTTGGAAGTCCCTGTACAGTTGGTCCGGTAGGATCCAAGTGGTGTTGAGGGAGTGGTTAGTCTTCCTGCTTAGTGCATCCGCCACCACGTTAGCTTTTCCCTCATGGTATTGGATGTCCAGATCGTAATCCTTTATGAGTTCTAACCACCTCCGTTGTCTCATGTTTAGGTCTTTTGGGTGAAGATGTACTTTAGGCTCTTATGGTCCGTGTAAATCTTGCATTGCACCCCGTATAAGTAATGCCTCCAAATTTTTAGTGCGAACACGATGGCGGTTAGCTCGAGGTCGTGTGTGGGGTAGTTTTCCTCTTGGGTTTTGAGCTTCCTGGATGCGTAGGCTATTACTCGGCCTTTTTGCATTAGCACGCACCCCAACCCCTTCTTGGATGCGTCACTGAAGACCTCGAATCCTTCCTCCCCGGAGGGGATGGCGAGTACGGGTGCCGTGGTTAACTTATCCTTCAATTCTTGAAAGGCCGAGACGCAGTCGTTGTCCCATTGGAAGGGGGTTTCCTTTTTCATGAGTTTGTTGAGGGGTTGGGCTATCCTGGTGAAGTCGGGTACAAATCTCCTGTAGTAGCCCGCCAAGCCTAGGAAGCTTCGGACTTCGGTGAGTGAGCTTGGTGTGGTCCATTCTTTAACGGCACGGATCTTGGCAAGGTCTACCTTAATCCCTTCCTTGGTTATCACGTGACCCAGGAAGGCCACGCTGTTTTTCCAAAATTCACATTTAGAGAACTTGGCGTATAGTTGGTGCTCCCTTAGAGTTTGCAAGGTTATGCGGAGGTGTCTTTCATGTTCTTCCTTGTTTCGGGAGTAGACTAGGATGTCATCAATGAATACAATGACAAAGTCATCCAAGTGGGGTCAGAATACTCGGTTCATGAGGTCCATGAATATGGCAGGCGCGTTGGTGAGTCCGAAGGGCATTACAGTGAATTCATAGTGACCGTAACGTGTCCGGAAGGCTGTTTTCTGAATGTCCGGTTTGGCCACCTGTATTTGGTGATACCCGGATCTTAGATCAATCATTGAGAATACCCCTACCCCTTTAAGTTGGTCGAACAAGTCGTCGATTCGGGGAAGGGGGTACTTATTCTTTATCGTGACTTGGTTAAGTTCCCTGTAGTCGATGCATAGGCGCATGCTCCCATCCTTCTTTTTAACAAACAACACTGGCGCTCCCCATGGGGAGGTGCTAGGACGGATGTAGTCCTTGTCTAGCAATTCTTGCAGTTGTGTCTTTAGTTCCTTCATTTCTTTTGGTGCTAATCGGTAGGGAGGTTTAGAAATTGGGGCAGCGCCCAGTACGAGATCTATGGTGAACTCGACTTCTCTGACTGGGGGTGCCCCGGGGATTTCGTCCGGGAAGACGTCGGTGAATTCGTTTACCACTGGGATGGTTTGTGGTTCGGGGGTTTTGGTGCTGAGGTCCTCGACCGAACATAGGAAGACCTCGCTTCCCTTGTTTAGGTATTTCTTCATTTTCATCATGTTCACCACTTTGATCCCGGCTTCCTGGTGGGTTCCATGGTAAGATACCCTCTTACCGTTTGGTCCCCGTAGGACCACTTTTTGTTCTCCGCATAGGATTTATGCTTGGTATTTCCCTAGCCAATCCATGCCCAAAATCACTTGTACCCCATCCAGTTTGAATCGGATTAAGTTGCTGGGAAATTCCACCCCTTGTATGGTGATCATTATATTCTCGTACAAGCGGTCGCATTCTAGGATTTCGCTGGAGGCCACTTTGACCTGGAGTCGGACCTTGGTGCTGGTGTTGAGGCCGAGCCGAGTGCCAAACTCGGTTGCTATAAACGAGTTGGTAGCCCCCGAGTCAAATAACACTGTGGCGGGGGTGGCGTGTACTAGGAAGGTTCCGGAGACTATGTTGCTATCCCCAATTTTGGCTTTGCTTAGAGTAAGGATTCTTCCTTGAGCGGTTGGCGCTGCGACTTGGCGGGGTGAGGCGGCCCTGGGGCTTTTAAGGCTGCGGGTGGGGTTCATGTGATTTCCTTCTGATTTTCTTTTGTTTCCCAGGCGTGTTTCCCGGGGTTGGTTTGGTACTTGTTGTAGTTGGGATGCCTTGGCATAGGCTTCCTTGAGGGTTCCTAGCTCTTGTGTGACCAGGGCTTTTTGATATTCGGGGTCAAGGCCTGATATTCGGTGGGAACTAGCTAGGGGATGAGGCGAGTCAGTCGGCGGAATTGTTGGTAGTATTCCGTGATCGAGGTTGCACCTTGTCTTAGGTGGAGGAATTCTTCGTATATGGTGGCTCTTAGGTGGTTGGGATAGAATTGTTCTCGTAGCCGCGCTTTTAGGGTTTCCCAGTTGAATCCGGGGTCTTGTTCGCAGGTGGGTCCTTCGTGAGCCCACCAGGTGTCGGTCTCGTGTCTGAAGTAGAAGGAGGCTATTCTTACCTGGTGGTCCTCGGGGCATTTAGTTGCCCTGAATATCTTGTCGAAAGTCACGATCCACTCCTCGAGGGTCGTGGGATCTTCGTTTCCAGAGAGGGTGGGTGGTTGGTGCGTCGAGATTTGTTGGTGGATCTCCAAGTTCTCATTTGGTAAAGACTGGGGAGCGGTAGTACTTAGTGCCTGGGCAATTTGGGCCAGGCGTTGCAGATTCTGAGTCAGGAATTCCTTGGTGGGGAGTTTCGGTGTTCCTACCTGTCTTCTTCTCGGTGCCATCCTGGGGTTCATAGGACAGTGTTATTTTGCGTCCTTACCTTGATGCAATAAGCGAAGGGGAGAGTTTCTTTAAGTTAGAAAGGGATAAAGTGAGGAGAGGTTATGTGTAGGTTTCACAATCTCACCGCGCGTCCTAAGATTCCTAAATCCAATGTTCCTAAGTACCTAGTGTTTAAGCTTAATTTCCTAAGGTCTGATCTTAAGAGTCTTATCCTAGGGTCAACTTTAGGCTCTGATACCAACTGTAACACCCCAGATTTTCAAGATATTTAAAACTTATAAAATAAAGGTGAAATCCCATTAAATCCCAAAACATAATACAAGAGTACGGGGTGCTATGCCACACCTGAGCTAAAGAACCCAGGTGCACAGGCTAACTATCTAATATCCTTAGTAATGTAAATGCATAAACATGGCACGCAGGCCGAAGGGGAAACTATCTACTTCTACGTTCCAAGTTCTAGCGCGCTCCGGTGACCTATTCTTCTGTGCCTGAAAGCCAAATATATCTGTTCAGCGAGAGATGCCGGTAACCCACTCCAACGCGTTGAAATACAATACGTATAGAGATATATATATAGATGTACGAAAATCATTTTGAAGCATGGAGATATATCCTACGAGACTCTAGCTTTTAAAACCGGGAATGACTCGACAGATAAGGCTAGACCCAAGCAGCAGTTATAACAGGCGTATACAATCCTCAACAGGCAAGACAGATAAAGCTGAGCACAATTAATAATCATAACCCCATGTAAACAATCCCCAGCATAAATCCCTTAGTCACATCCCCCAATATACTCATAAACACAATTCCTCCATATCTCATCACATAGCACACTTTGTTGGCGCCACAGGACCAATCGCACGCCCATACATAAGGGTCAGTGCATATAGCTCTGACACGGCCCCGCAGCACCCTGCCCCGTCTCACATTACGGAGGAGCCGATCGCAACCGACTGATGGACCTTTGTCCTACATAATATTTATATACCTGACCGGTCTTTACCAGCCTGGTTAACAGTTGGGATGGTTCTCAGCCCATTCAACTGCCCGTATAGTGGACCTTTGTCCTATGTAATATTTATATACCTGACCGGTCTCTACCAGCCTGGTTAACAGCCGGTATGGTTCTCAGCCCATCCGACTGCCCGTATAGTGGAACTTAGTCCTATATAATATTTATATACCTGACCGGTCTCTACCAGCCTGGTTAACAGCCGGTATGGTTCTCAGCCCACCCGACTGCCCGTATAGCCCGATTGATCTCAACCAATTCGGGGTGACACGCACACATAACACGTAGCAAGCACATGCAACCCACATTAACATATTAAGAAGGGGAGGAAACGTATAACGAAACCTATGCGTGATCCTTCACATACTAAGAATAGTCCAAAGGGTTCATACTTCCTTTCACCTAGGTCAGCGGGATACCAATTCAACTAGCATGCAATATATAAGACTCATACAACCTACGAACGGTACCCGAAATATCAAACTAGACATAGGCACGATAGACGGGGTCCGTTGGGACACCTCGGGGGTCGGGGAAACATCAAACGGGGAAGCCAAGATCCCCAATTGGGGTGCAAACCAGCGGGTAGCCGGTGGGTGAGGGATCACCCGCCGGCTGTAACAAAACCGGGCAGCGGGTGCCCGGCGGGCAGCTGCCCGCCCGCCGGCCGCCCGCTGTCGGCGTTGCCCAAGGAGGCCGCGGGTAGGTGGCGGGTCCCCTACCCGCACCTACCCCCCACTGACTCTTTTCATCAAGAAACGCCCCGGGAACCTTTGTGGAACCCGAAACCATGCTTGGACACTTTCAAACGCAATTGATAACACACGTAGACAATTAACGGATCAAAATCAGGAAACAATCGGCACATAACCTATCATGCTTTTCTAAACGTAATAAACACCCAATCATGCGAATTCCCACCCAATATACCAAGAATAATTCCATACGATACAACCTAGGGTTCTTATCACTTTTATGCCAACAAGAATACGATTCGTCTTCTAATTACAAGATTCGGTACAAATAACACATAAGTATCAAGAACGCCATACAATTATCAAGAACAACATATAATTATCAAGAACTCCACGTAATCGTTAAGAACACCATAATTATCAAGAATCTCCTGATATCAAGATCACCCATGGAATTATCCCATCAATCATCAATAATAACATCACAAATCATCAATACACAATAATATGGGGGAATCCTACGGGGGAAATCATAGCTATGAAAATAGGTTTTGTTGAGACATGGGTTACCTTTTAGCCTTAATTAATTCCTTGGCTATGAAGGGTCTTTCTTTAAGCTTTCTTGTTTTCTTGATTTCTTCTAGGGGGATTCTTGGAGCTCTTTGGGGAGGTGGGGCGTTATTCTTATGGGGGGTTTCTAGGTGTCTTTTAAGTCCCCTATTTATATATTTAGGAGTCGTAGTTAGGAACTAATATTATGGGCTTGCTAGTTCTATTTCTTTTGGGACTAAGGATTGGGTTTAGGGATAAAGGCCCATGGACTATGGTGGGCCTTCATAATTAATTATTGCGATTTAATTCTTTCTTTTGGGTAATTGATTAAATGACTTAATTGATCTTAGGGGTCGTAACACGGGGTGTTACAAAGACGATGACAATGAAGAAAAAGACGGTGAGGATGAAGAAAATAATGATGAAAGTGATCAAGACGAAAACAATGACAGTGATGAAGAAGATGATGATAGTCATCCTGACAGTGATGAATCTCCTATTATAGGAAACACTAAAGTGGAACCCGAAAGAACTCCTGAGCCTCACAACAACCCTCTCGAAAACTCTCCTCAGGCTCAGAACACTCCATCCAATGCAAGAAACGACTCCTGTCTGAGATCAGCTAGTGATGACAAACGGGAAGCATCACCAAGTACGAGACATGACGACTCTGGTCGAAAAGAGATAAGTGTTCAAACACCTTATCGAGCAGAGCAAATTGAAGCAAAGTCGACCCTATTACTCCTTTCGGACACGCTCAAGGCACTAAGTCACAATGTGAAAGGACAAACGCTCAACGAGAGCATGACACTCAGAAGTTGGATGACTTGTCTTCTAAGATGACAATTGTATTGACAACATTGTCTTCCATACAACAAGGCCGACAGATCCCTGATGAAAATCAACAGAATAAGCTGGTCTCTGAGCTCCATCGTCACAGCCATCTGCTCGACGAAATCACCAAGGAACAACACTTTCTCAAACACTCTCAGTTTGGTCTAAAGGAGAAAGTCGATCTAGCATGCTCCAAAATTGATATAGCAAGTGACAACATCATTATGATACCAGCTGTAACACCCCCGATTTTACCAACGATTTAAAACTTAAAGTTAAACGATGAACAACTAACCATTATGGCAACAAAACCGGAAGCTATTAAAAATCGGGAAGATGTTATGCCACACCCATAAAACTATGAGTGCACAGGCTAAACTGTCACAAACCATCAAGTAACATAAGTCTAGGCACACTGACCAACAAAAGATAAACGTCTAAACATGGAGCTATACTATCTAGAGTCCACATCTAGCACGCTCGGCATGTACTCAAAACCTGTAAAACATAAAGATAAGGGGATGACACCCGGTCAGCGAAAGATGTTGGTAACCCACCAATACGCGTTAAGTAGCATAGTATACGAAGATATATAAAGGTAAAACTATTTGAAATAGGAATACAGTATATATCATTTTTAAAATCGAGATAGAGACAACAAAAACTCATTTCACTCACAAGAAGACCAAGACTTCAACTCCACAAGATAAGGCAACACAAGTAACATCAACCGACACGACTCTAGATGCAACCTACTGTTCACAAAGTAGAGTTCATCTAGACATGCTCATAAGCAAAGGATTCAACAACACATCATGTGGAGCAACACATTCACATACAAAGTCGTAGTTTCAACTTCCAACCTTATTCCCTGTTAGAACCTTATGGCTATCCTCGGCCTAATATCAGTTCCAACCGTTACCTCCTAGTGCCACCCTGTACTTCTGAGTCCAACCTTATTCCTCCTGGGACCGTTATCCCCCACCTACACCGCCAATCATTCACTACCGAACTCTCAATACACGAGGGTACCATTAAAGATCATAATCACACACAACCGATCATATGGCCAAAGCTCAAGTCACACACCACCAACCATATTCATAGTCACACATAGTCATCATCATTACCAAGAAGACTAAGGCCCAATAAAAGCCCTAATCACGTATCAACAAAGGGTACAACAATTTGTACGAGATCACACCATAAAAATCAATCAACAGATTACCACAAAGATTTGAAACTATACTCAACAACAAAGGATACAATCCAACATCAAATGATTGACAACACGAGTTGCCAACCCCAATAAGAAGGAACAAACCACACATACTAGCACAACGACATCAAACTAGGATGCTCAACAAGCGGGTAAACCAAAATAGTTCCCATGAACTCTCAAGACCCATATTATTCCAACAATTCACAAGATTGGACCCTTAGCACGATGCAAGACACCAAATCCTAACATGGACTCTTATCACACCGTTCAAGGCATACGAAACATCAAGAAGACTCACAAATAGCTCAAAATCCAATAACGGGAGGTCAAAACACCAATACCAAGAAGAAAAGAATCACGGGGAAAAAATCACTGCCGGCAATCAACAACGTTCCCCGCGGGTGGGGCCACGGGTGGACCCCCACCCGTGGGTCCGCCCACAGGGTACACCCCACGAGGCCACACCGTGTTCCCCACGGGTGGGGCGGCGGGTAGGCCTCTGCCCGCCGTTCCGCCCGCGGCCTTGTACAACATTTCCCTTTGGGGAAATTCATCTCCAAAGCCAAAATCAAGTCCAAAACACCCAAAATCTCACACACAATAAGAATATGACTTGATCCAAAGAAATAGCAAAGCAATGGCATTTAAGAACCCTAAAAACAAGCTCTAAACATGCATTTTCACAAGATCATGCATCAAATCTCACAAATCACATCAAGAACATCAAGTAGAAGCCAATAATCATCATTTAAGTAAGAAAACAAGTTTTGTATAGCATGGGTTGCCTTTGTAGCCTAACAACTTATCTTTCTCACCCTTTTAAGCCTTCTCCTAGAGCTCTTCTTCCACACTAACTTCTTATACAAGCCAAAACACAAGAAAAGTTTTAACTTAGATAAAGACACCCAAAAGATGGTTAAAAACACCAAAAAGCTAAGGACCTTACACTTTCCTATGCTCAAGAAGAAGAAAGTAGGAATCTTGATGAAAGATCTTGCAAGAGTTGGAGGTTCACCTTCTTGCTTGAAGAATAAGCTAGGTCATTTTAGAGAGAGGCTAGAGTGTTTGAGACTTAGGCTTGAATGATGAATGAAATTAAATGTCTTGCTAGGGTAAATTGATATAAAAACCATGGGTGAAAAGCCACATTTACCCTTACTAAGGTTGGAAAGACAAGGGGACAAGGGCACAACTCAAGAAGCACAAGGTACACCCAAAAGATTTAAGTGACTAGTCAAATTCTAGTCCCTTGACTTATAAAATTTTAGGATTTTAGAAGTAGATTAGCAAAGAAGGCTTGGATTAATTCTTCAATTAATCCTCAAATAGTATTTAGATTTACGGGGTGTCACATCATTTCCCCCTAAGAAGAAGCTTCGTCCCCGAAGCTTGGGCACGATGGGTTTTCATAAAAGACAGCAACAACTCAAAGATGCGACATAAGATGGCAAGATGTAAATAAACAAAGCTCCAAAGATCAAATGATGTGAGATTGTAAGGGTCAAGAAATCTAAGGTTTCAATGTACCGAGGAAATCTTCTCAAGCAACACAACTTCTAAAAGCTTCAGTCGAACAACACTCATCTACACTACTCCTATCCATAAGCAAACTAAACGCAACGAGGCAAAGCAACTACACCAACCACTATCACAACTAACTAAACAAACAAAACAAGCAAGAGAGCACCACCAATTACACAACAAAACAAGCAACAACTACTAAGCCGACAACAACACGAACGAGAAAGAAACGAGCTTACCCCAAACTCCGGCCTAGGAGTAATCATCCTCCGCTCCCTCGTCATCCTCATCTGAAGCTTCTTCAGCTCTGCCCCGGCTTGAACTAGCTTCCAGCACATCCAGTCTTTTATTCACAGAAACCAGTTGAGCTTTCATGAAAGAGAAACCTTCCTCAATCATCCGATTTTGCTGACGAATGAGGGCCACCACACGTTCCTCGTGGGTCATTGCATTATGCTCTTTCTTTTTCCTCACTTCTTGTCTTCTCAAGCTCTCCTCGCTCTCGGGATCACTTTCTTCAGCTTCCTCTTCTTCTCCTCTTCCCCCTTCTTCTTCTTCATCCTCAGTGTCTCCTCCCAAACTCTGCACTGCCTAATTCAGCTTCCCAACTGGGATCTCCAACTGCTCAACCAGAGAACTCCTCTCGGCAGGGGGTTTGTTAGCGACTTCTTCTAGAGAGATGTAGTCACCATTATCCAACTGAAACAGATTACAACTCCGAAGATTTGTGGCATCCAAAACCATTTTGCCCACGGCCTTGGGCACATAACCCTCAACATTCACCCCTTTCCTTAAGAAAACCCAGCTTAAAACCATACCATAGGGCAGACTTTTACGGTTATGATCCCTACAGTAGTCCATGTGTTGCAACATCAACGAAGGAAAGTTGAACTTCACTTTCTACTTCAGGCAAAAAGCAAAGGTGCACTCCAACTTACCCAAATAGCTACTCTTATTGTTGTTAGGTTACAAGCAATCTGAAAGAAGCATTACCAAAATCTTCTGTTCAACCGAGAGCCATTTCCTTTTTTGTCTCGTGGCTTGAGTAAAACCACTTGTCCTTCCCAACAAAAAGCTCAAATAGTTCTGATAGCTCATACTACTCGTCTCGATCCAAGAATCACCACTATACTGTGAGACTCCAGTAGTCGTCAAACTCAAGAGTTGAACCAACCGTTTCTCAGTCAAGGAGATTTCCATTCCTCCCACCTTAGAGGTGATTTTCAACTTTCCTCCCAACTTGGTCACACTCATGTGACGTTAAAACTCTTTCACCAATCTCAGGTAAGTCACAATCTTAATAGCGAGATACCCATCCAACAACCCTTGGTAGTTCAACAACTCTAACATAGAACTTGAGAAAGAGTTAGGGTCAAAAGCTTTACCTTCCAAAACCGAGTAATGGGCATCCACCCATTCCACTCTTCTCGCAGTTTTTGACCTCCTAGGCATGATTTTGAGATGTCCAATATGGAAAAGACCCAAAACCTCCTTTTTTTCCCTTTTTCTTCTTCTTTTCTTCTTCTCGGCTTTCCTGTGCCGAAACCGGCAGGTGGTAGCGGCGGCGAGGTTGCTGACGGTGGTGGCAGATGGCGCCGGTGACGGGCGACGGTGACGGATGATCGGCTGGCGATGGGCAGAGGACGACGACGGGGTGGGGGGGTTTCCTCGACTGGGTCGACGCGGGTGGGAGAAGAAAAAGAAAGGGGGGAAGGGTTTTTGGGAAAAAGATGGAAGAAGGGATTTTTAATTTGGGGATTTTTGGGTTAGGATTTAAGAAAAGTTAAAAGGAATTTAAGTGGGATAAAGTTTAAGAAACACAATTGGTTTGGATGGTTTAAGGGATGGCTTATAAACTTTAAGACTCGGGTTTGAAACTTGCTAGTTATGGATTAAACTTTTGAGCTAACTCTTTTAAGCTTAACCTCTAAAGGATCCCAAGAAAAGATAAACTAACCCTTCTATGTTTTTAAGATGCGGGTTTAGGCTTTGGGTGACAAGAAAGATAATGTTAAGGTTGGCTCAAGAAGGGTACCTGCTGACTCCTCCTCCACTAAGCCCTCGGCCTCAGCCTGCGACCGGCTCATCACGAACACCCTGCCCGAAGGACTTGTCCATCCCAAACCTCGATCGGAACTCCCTCCTGACTGTCCCCCGGGTCTGGCGCTAGATGGCAATGCCCTCTGGTTGGATTCGAGGTGGCACTCAAAAGCTTTGTGACCCCTTTCCCCACACTTGAAGCACTGAAGCGCGTTCCCTTGGCAAT